GCACTGTCCCAGTGCGTGTTGGCGAACTTCACAACTTGTCTTTGAATTATTATTTCCCTATATCTCAGATATGCAGGTTTTCTCACGATTTTGTTATTATTAAAAAGCAATTGGGCTAGAAACTAACCGTTTGACAGCAGCGTTGTGGGAGCAGGTTCAAATCCCCATATGGAACAAATAACAAAAAAGTCAAATGACGTATCCGGTCTGCGGACGTCATTAATTACAATAAACCTGAACTGTGTGCCGTATTTACGTGGAAATTCTATATTTAGACTGAATTCTCAGCACATGCCCTAATTTTTATGACTGACAACATGATTGACGGACGGAAGACGGACGAGCGAAACTTTCAAAAAAAAAAAATAACAATGAACTTTCCCCGTAAGCAAACATTTGATCTTTTCCTTTGTTAATGCACGGCAGTTAATGAACTATCACTGAGTCGACTGTAAGGCGCCCATTAGACGGTTCGACTCGTTCCCATCAATCTTAACGAAGTCATTGACTCGACGGAAAACAAATCGTGTGAAGTTGACTTACTGGTGGATTGATTGACGAAAATTAATACAATTTAGCGTCGTTCATGATCAATCAAACTTTGAAATTGCGGAGTGTGTACTATTGAGGCCAATTATATGTCAGTCACCGAACACAGCCGGTGTTGCTCATGTCACTCTGTTTCACTAACTATTGTAATTGGCCTTCGCGTGATTTAACGATCGGCATACTTTGCACTTTTATTAATCATCATCATTTTGACTGCCTCGTTGTTCCAGTGGCAGTAAACCCGACCGCTGGTTATAATAAGGTCTAGAGTGGTCAAAAAAAGTTCATCAGCTATTGAGTTTTTTCTACCTCACATTCTGCCGGAATAACGCTGCAGTATTTTAGTAACCGCATACCATTTACACTGATATTCCATCTTAGTCCTCAGTAATGACAACGTATCTGTACTTATAGCTTGAGCTACGGTAGATATAAGTGTCTATGGGTGACAGTAGTTTTTGCATATACCTAATAATACAGTCAACCCGAAATAAAAGAACCCCCCCCCCCCCCAACCTACATGAGATATACCTTGTAATAAGTGCAGGACTATGCAATCACCTATTACTTTTTTTTATAGAAGAAGGGGCAAACGAGCATGCGGCTCACCTGATGTTAAGAGACTACCGCCGCCCATGATCAACCGCAACACCAGGAGAATTGCGGGTGCGTTGCCGGCCCTTTAGAAAGGAGTAAGCTCTTTTCTTGAAGGTCCCCAGATCGTATCGGTCCGGAAAAATCGCCGGTGGTAAACTATTCCACACAGAGGTTGTACGTGGAAGAAAACTCCTTGTGAAACGTACAGTGGTGGACCGCCAAGCATCCAGATGATGTGGATGGTATCGGGACGTTTGACGTGTAGTGCGTTCACGAAATTTGGCGGCTGGGATTAATCCGAACAATTCCTCAGAGCACTCCCCGTGATAGATGCGATAAAATACGCAAAGAGATGCAGCATCTCTTCGCAGCGCCAGTGAATCGAGCCGATCGGAAAGCACTCGGTCGTCGACGATTCGAGCCGCTCTGCGCTGGATGCGGTCAAGTGGAAGAAGCTGGTACTGGGGAGCCCCAGCCCAGAGATGGGTACAGTATTCCATGTGCGGCCGAACCTGCGCCTTGTAAAGTTGCAGGCGGTGTGCCGGCATGAAATACTGTCCCGCTCTGCTGAGCACGCCAAGCTTTTTTAGAGGCCAATTTGGCCTTCCCTTCCAAGTGAGCACGAAACTGCACGTCACTCGATATGTCGACGCCGAGGATTCCGATACTGGCTGAGACAACAAGGGGAGTGCCTTGAAACTGAGGGGATACGACAAAGGGGTTCTTTTTAGCGGTTAACGCGCAAACTTGTGTCTTCTGGGGGTTAAACTGGACTAGATTTAGTCGCCCCCAATCCGAGACTCTGTCCAGCAGAGACTCGACTTCAGACACAAGTTTGTCCCGGCACTCGGAGACGTTTTCCCGAGAAATATTGGCTCGGCCGGTGTAAAGAGCATCACCAGTGCTGTCATCTGCATAGCAATGAATGTTACGGGTATGCAACATGTCATTGATATGCAGAAGAAACAGCGTTGGCGATAGCACGCATCCCTGTGGAACACCAGCATTAATAGGCTTGCAATCGGAGCTTGCACCGTCTACAACGACCTTGATGCTCCGATCTGCAAGAAAGCTGGTGATCCAATCGCACAATTTCTCGGAAAGCCCATAGGAAGGGAGCTTCGAAAGAAGCGCTTTGTGCCAAACCCGATCGAAGGCCTTCACAATGTCCAAACTAACGGCCAATGCCTCCCTCCCCCTTGAACTCTACTGCCTCCGCCCATCTGTGAGTTAGGTAGACCAGAAGATCACCAGCTGACCGAACACGGCGAAAACCGTATTGGCGGTCACTAATCAGCTGGTGATCTTCAAGGTACCTCATGAGCTGGCAGTTTACAATGGACTCCATTGTTTTGGAGAACAAGGAGGTGATGGCGATTGGCCGGTAGTTGTACGGGTCAGAGCGGTCACCTTTTTTAGGGATCGGGTGGACGTAAGCCGTCTTCCATGATTTTGGGACTACACCTAGGGAGTAGGAGTACCGGAAAAGACGCGTTAAAACCTGTGCCAACTCTGGAGCACACGTCCTCAGCACAATTGGGGGGATTCCGTCAGGCCCACTCGACTTGTGGATGTCCAGGGAGAGGAGTGCTTTGCGAACCGAGCGCTGTGTGAGTGAAGTGCACTTCCGGCATGGAGCACTCACACCGCGGGATGGTCGGCGGAGTACTCCCCCCGTCATCGAGAGTCGAGTTAGACGCAAAGAAAGAGCCTAGAAGATCGGCTTTCTCCTTTGCGGTATGGGCCAGTGAGTCGTCCTCCCTGTGCAGAGATGGAAGAGATGGCTGACAGAAATTCCCCTGGACAGCCTTGGCGAGAGACCAGAATGCACGGGTTCCAGAAGGAAGGCGAACTAGTTTTTCGCCAATTCTGCCTACATGCTCTGACTTTGCCTTGGCAATGACTCTTTTGAAGGACCTAGAGGCGGAATTATACTTCTTTTTTAGAGCGCTGATGTTTACATCCCGGGACGCTGATGCATCAGCCCAGGCTTGGTAGCACTCCTGCTTATAGCATGATGCTATTTTACAGGAGCGACCAAACCATGGCTGAGACTTGCCTCCAATGGGCACCACAGAGGAAGGAATAAAAAGTGCCATACCCTGAAGTACCACATCAGCGACAGAATCCGCAACAACGTTGGGATCATCCGGCGAGAAGCAAACCCGCCCCCAAGGGGTAGGATGCAAAGAAAGACCGCATCCCATCCCAATCGGCTGACCTATAGTGCCAAACACGGCGGCAGCCTGCAGAATGCAACCGCGATTTCAGCGTGAGTGGCACCACACTCCGGACCAGACAATGGTCCGAGGAGCCTAAAGGGGCGTCAACGGAAATCTGATATCCGTCCGGGTGAGAGGTCAGCAGAAGGTCCAACAGGGAAGGTGCATGATCCTCCACATCTGGAATCCGCGTAGGCGAAGTTACCAGTTGTGTCAGACCATATGCCAAGGCAAAATCATGAACAGATCTCCCCGCATGATCGGTTAAACGTGAACCAAGCCATTCGGCGTGATGGGCGTTAAAGTCGCCGAGGATCACGATCTCTGCGGAGGGGAACTGCTGTAGCAACGAATCTGCAGGCATTTGGACGTGGTCGAATAGTCGGTCTGTTTCGGCATTACCGCTATGGGACCTATAGAGGCACCCGTAGACGCGCGCATGGTCGTCGCTGTCTACGCGTAGCCAAAGGATGGACAGGTCCAAACCTTCAAGTCTGCCGAGGCGTCGAGATCAGATGTCCTCTCTGACGTAAACGCAAACTCCAGCCCGAGGCACAAAGGAGTGTTCCAGTTTGTACCCCGGGTAGGAGAGATACGAGACATCAGCCGGAGAGGACACCTGCGTCTCGGTCAGAAAGAGCAGAGCCGGCCTCGCCGTCTCGAGATGGTAGTAAACGGCGTTTAGGTTAGAGTGAAGTCCCCCTGATATTGCAGAAATTCACGGACAGCGTGGCAGGGGTCGCCTTGGTCTTGTTGCTCCGTTTGCCCCGAGCAGTTGTAGTCTTGAGCGGAATTTTGCCCCCCCCCCCCCCAGAATACGCGGGGCAGCCTGAGCACCCACGCTCAGAAGTTGAGAAACATGGTCGTGGATGCTCAGCGAGGGGATTCTCCAGGGGTGCTGGTACCCTCCTGGGGTAGTCGATCATTATTTAATACCGCTACCATGTTGATGGGGGGGGGGGGATTTGGGCCTCCGGCCACCTGCACTCACCAGACGAAACGCGGAAGCAGAGCTTCCACTTCACGCCGGTATTCTGTGAGGTCGTGGTACCACCCCGGTTTGAGCCGGCCCATACGTGCAACAGCAAAGCTGCCGCGTGGCTCTACCACTGTTAAAATTTTACTTCTTTCACAAAGTTCAATTTACATCCATATTTCATGGCTAAACGTAACCTGTTGCTCTTTGGACTCTGCCGCCCCATCAGGCATTACAGACATGCAAGAAAAAACACAATACATAATAAATATTTTACGGTTTCTATCGCGTTTTTTTTTTTATTCCAAACGACCAGAGTAACACAATATAAAATCAGACTGCTTGGTGGGTTAAAAGATCATTCCCGAAACCCCTAAAGAAATAATATTTATAAAAAAAGATGTGGGTGATCTATAGCATCTGTAGCTGTCATAAGAGACGACACTATGGGATATGAAAGATCTCATGTTTTCGGTTGATGGCGTTATAACCGTCTCGTTAACTATAAATAAATACCCAAAACTTCTTGAACGTTGAGATTTACAAAACCTAAAATTTAAATTATTAAAATCTGTAAGACCGGCGTCAACTCTTAATGACAACTGTGATGTCGATGAAGAATGATGATGAAAGGTATTTACAAAAATGATACTCACATGACTCTTCAATAAGCACCTCCTGCAGACTGCCAACATTGTTATGAAGAAAGATAAATATCAGAACTAGTTGCGACCGAGACGCACTCATGATCGATACAAGCGCATCACTACACCGTAAGTTTTAAAAAAAATATACTCATACAAGTCATTTTTAATTTGCCACGATCACATGTTTATATAAAGTATCGATACCACATAGCAAAATCACTTCACATCACTAATTGTCAAATCAGCTAGTCGGTAGGTACACCTGAAACAAAATATGAAAGATTACAAAGAGAAAGGAACACATTAAGTCGGTACCTAATTATAAAATAACACAAATATATAAAATACAACAACTCTGGGGTGACGCTCATGTCCAGCGATAAATATATATATATATATATATATATATATATATATATATATATATATATTTGCTGTTGTATGCAATACTCATATGGTAGGTAAATGTATACACAAATTTTTCGCTCTATGATTGTCGTCAAGTCGCCGTTTAGTACAAGTAATTAATAAAATCAGGCGTTACTTTGCGAAAATCCATTATGTGAAAGTTGGTAGGAATTGCGTCATCCCAACATCTGCTCAATTAACCTTCTGACCTGACTTCTGACCTTCAGCCACAGCAGAGTCTACATCACCTGAGGATGCCTCGTGAAGAAGCGACACACGTGTCGTATTATCGTCTTTCCTAGTGTAGTGGTGTTAGAAGTAGTGGTGACAGGATTAGTGCACGCAATTGAGAGAGGGCGGTAGGTGCTCTTCAAGCTAGATAAGACATATCATTTTATTTTATTAAGGGTTTGCGGGGGAAGGACTTATTAACAACTTTAATTTTAATGTGTACATGTAACATAGGTGCGAACCGGTACTGATAGATATTGTTGCGCGCCACAATTAAGCCCGGTATATGGCGGGTGATTATTAGCGCCATCTGGTATCAAGCAGCAGAAACAGGAGCGTCAAGATCTTTCTAGAACTCTCCCACTAGCGCCATCTAGTATCGAATAGAAGAACTAAGCTTTCTAGCAAACTCTACACTCGAAATCTCTGGGTATGGGTCTGGGTCGGGACCGGTTTTTGCTGGAAACTCTAGATGTTTCGGTCGAAAAGGTCCTATATAAAGCCGTTTAGTGCCGCGACCGGGGCAGTATTGAATTTGCGAAGTAAACGGAGACTTCAGAGCGAAATAATGTGAAATAAAGTGTTAAGTGTGATTAATTACTGGTGTGTTTTAAGTTTTAATTGATGTTCAGTAATTAAAGTGCCAATTTTGGTAATTCAATCAGCAGTTTTTACTGTCACGAACCCTAAGGTCGTAACAATATTATATTCACCTTAAGTGGCGTAAGAGGTGACATAGGTAAACAAACCTAAAGATGGGCAGCAGCGTCATCATAATAACAAAAATAAAATAAAAACTGCGGTTGCCAACCCGTCTACAAGACGGGTGACTACGACAAATATATTAATGTTACAGCCACAGAAATAGTAATAATAAGACAATAGAAATGAATTAGCGCTCGATTACTTCCAAAACCGATGTCGCCACATCTTAAAGGCCCATACTACCTGAAATGGCTTTGCCAGATCCTCCGTTATGCTGAAAATATTGCAGCATTAATTTTGAAATAAATATGGTAACGCTGAGGTTTAATGTAAAAAAAACTTGAAAGTTACCTCCAAACTGAACAATAAACCGCTGGTATTCATAAAATACTTTAAATTAGATCATGAAACTTTGCATACTAACTGAACTAACAATAAAGCGGGGCTTATGTTCTTTTTTATTTTTTTAAATCACCATTATTTTCACCGTAAAAAAGAAATTACCTAAACTATCGGCGTCCTGAACCTTGTTCCCCGCCGCCAGATCAGCCTCGCTTCGGCTTTCGAAGGGAAAAGCTGTGTAGCTTACAATCAGAATACACATTATGCAACAGGACGACGTAAAATTAAAATGGGAAATAACCGTAATAAAAATAAGAAGCGACTGGGTTGGCGTAAATAAACAGGAATAAAATATGATAAACCTAATGAAATAAGTATCTAACGACATAAGTACATACAGTATTAGTGATTACAAATACGTCGGTACATACGGTAATAAATGAAAGTATACAAAGGTACACATATCATAGTAAAGTATTCATCTAGATGCAAATTAGTTAAAACAATGATAATTAGTAAATAATCAACTTGCCGATGAAATGTTATACCTTTATTAGTTGAATTACACGTCCTTGATGAGTTTTTTACAACTGATTATGCTGCAGTTCAGCACTATAATAACATAAATTCACGTACGACGTTCCCCGCGCAATTAAATCACAAAATGGTGAATGATGTTCATTAACACATCATAGCGGCGAAAAGGTCACGCGTCTATGCGACTTCAACTGTCTTCTTATTATTACGATTTCTGTGGTATACGTCCCATTACTGAGCACAGGCCACGTCTCATTTCGAAGAGGGTTTTGACAAACGTTGGGCATATTAATTATTATGAGGCAATCCTTGGGAAGAACTATGTTCAGCAAGACCTATAGGCTGACTTTATATTGATGGATGAATAGATTTATCACGTACTCAGCGGCGGCGGAAAACATTGCAAGAAAACCTGTATGTCTAAAAAACAAAACCTTTCGAAAATATAATGAAGTTCATTAACACGTACGAAAGTAACGCGTACCTACCACATTAACTTTACATTAAAGAAAAAGAAACCAATGTAATAAGGAACAATGGTTTTTGTATTTCATTTGCGTATAATTGAAATGAAATTGTACAAAGGATTTTAAGCAAAATGCCGCGTACTATAAAATTAGGGCGGAGCTGCCTAGCCCTGAGCTTACAAGTAATAATTTATGATTAGGCGTTTTCGATTTGACAAACGCAAGCGACATCAAATATAATAAGATCCCTCCTTTTGAAAACGTAATCTGACAAGCTACTAACAATCCTGTTCTCAGCTGTAACATTTATAGTCATACTTAACTGTAACGAGTTCATACTCCACTGCTTGATGGTTATTATACTGGAGCTAGTTAAAATTCCAAACGGGACGATTTTATTGACACATAATCTATATAATATACAAATTATGTAATATATAGATTGTGTATTTATAATATAGAGATTTTGTATTAAGTTTTCATTTACGTATTAATATTATTAAATACGTAAAGAAAATTTTGTACCGTGCGTAAGTAATTTGTACAGACGTGCCCTTGATGCAGCAACGTAGAAGATTTCCTACATTTGTTGTTTTGTTTGGCATTAATACAGTTAAAATCAATGTTTGCATAACACATGGATTAATAATAAATAATGTCCTCCAGACCGGATTTCGGTCGCGCCGTCCTAGGTAAATATGCCACTCAGTTGTATTTACATTTACAGTTATTTACATTTACAGTTACTGTTATTTGACAAATACGAAGTAAAGTTATATACATATATGAAATAAATTTCAATTCACGTTGACAAATTGCGCACAAAAATAATAACAGTGTTTTCTTAGCCGCATTAAACAAAATCATTGTTAGGTTGTCGAAAAGTTCGCGGTTAACAAAACAAAACGGCACAGATACACTAACATAATCCGATAGGACTTTCGACACGACCGTAGTGGATCAGGCGCAGTTCCAAAGGCTTTACGTGCTTTCTGAGCTGCTATTGAGAATTTTTTGACCTCTGATTCGAACCCTCGATTAGGTCAGCAGCCTCGTCAGCGATACAAGACCAATGAGGCAGTGACACACAATTAACAATTTATGTGTAACACAATTTATCGATAAACTGATAATTATATTGGATTTCAATAAAAAGTATTTTATCACGCTTAATTATTATTAACTCTGTTTAATACCTTACATAAATGTTGTGGTACTTGGTGGAAGGAAAAGGGAAGATCTCCCGCCGGGCAAGGTTTTCATCCCTTTCTATATATACTGCTTTTCTTGGGAACTTTGATAGCACGATTTAGGCTTCGGTGTGTTTTGCATGTGGCGCGACAACAGCGCCGACAAAGTACCTCCATCTATTAGAGACTAGAATATTGGCGTAAATATAATAAATGTTCTTGTAGTATGTATGTCCCCCGTTTCGCTTTTACGACATCCGGCCCTTCCTTCGACTTAAGCGGAATCGGAAGGAAGGACGGGGGAGTGCGAGCTTTACGTGAATACTTAAGGCATTATCACTAATGCGCTGGTGACAGTTTCCGATTTTTGACACGCCATCGGTAAAAAGACTTAGTAAAGAAATAGAACAGAACATTTTTATCATTCGGTTCCATATGGATTTTTTTTATTATTATTATTTAACATAACGAGCATCACAACATTAAAAGAAATTCGTCACCACACGCATCTAAACTGAGTCAATATCTTCTTTTCTAAAGCATTGCCGTGTTTTTTTATATAATAAGATTGACAGACGAGTTCAAAGTCCACCTGATGGTAAGTGAATGCTGTGGCCCAACCCCATCTACATTTAGCCACGATAAATAATCAAAATTCAGAGGCATCGTCACCCCTGAGGACTAATATGGAATGTCTCGTTTCTAGTAAAAAGGGTCCATGGATCTCTATACTTACCATACAAACACAGCAGCAATTTTACGCTGGCATTCTGTGAGAGCGTGGTCCTTCCTCGGTCAAGCCGACCAATTCGTGCTACAATCATAATATAGCTGCAGCATGACTCTATCACATTTAGACGTTTATACGTCCTAGGTCGGTAAGGAGTCATTTTAACAAAACCTTCAGATACTAGCATACTATATAATGGGTCCAAATATATTCTGGACTGACGGGCTGACTGTCGTGAGTTTGATAATAAAGGCTTTAAGAAGCTTAAAATATTCTTATATAAATAAATATTTAACTTGAAACATACTATCGACCTTATTTTCAAAATATAACTAAGTAATTGAGAGCTTAGAGTTCAAACTAAGACTCTAAAATAGTCCTTTTAATATAAAAGTCCCTTAGCCGAGGCAGCAGTCTTCGCCAAATTTGACATTTGCTGTCAAACAGATTTCAGTTTAAACCTTAGACCATTCACCCAATTTAAACCTATTACTAAATAATATAATTTTGGGTTTGTAATAAGAGGGTATATAAGTTTAATAATAGCTTAGATAATACTATATTTGACTTAAAACAGTTGGCAACCCTAATCAGTGACCATGAGATTTTTATGACACGAATGAGTACTGTTACAACTGTTTTAAAATATATGCAAAAAAAAGCTGTTTCGCGACAACCATTCTCATAAATTATCAATTCCAACAGAATTTTATTATTGTAGAATCGATGAGTCAACAGAAAGAAACAAATATAATTCTTATATCTAAAACGTAAGGATTATGCACATATGTGTAAAGTTTGACGCTAAACCGTACAACAAAGGTGCGGTCATCCATCAGCAATGACCTGTATTATACGTGTATGTAGCGTTACCGTGTACGGCTTACATTGGTCGTAAATTAAACAAAAGGACGTCACGTGACCGCAAACGATCAGCCGGTACAGTGGAAACGAACTCTCAGACAGATTAGTGAACGCATTTCAGGCGTCGTTCCAAGGTAAATTACGAGTCTGAAAACCGAATAGTTTAAGTGTTACCTAATGAAACGCGGCTGCAGTTACCTTCTAGTACTTTTAGGTACCTGTAGTGTAGTGCTCTCACGTTAATATACTTTAGTGTTAAGGTAGAATAATAAAGCAGTCTAATTAAAGTTTTAGTACCAACCACACGTAGCCTTCATTGACACCTTTCCTATATTACATGGCGACCCTGCCAGGCGGTGCGCGTGCATTGTCGCAGCGCACCGCCGCGGCCTACTATTTTTTTTAATAAAATGGGAAAATAATTTAAAGAAATAATATACAAAAATTCAATTATTGAATTGACATACTACCGGATGTGACAAGAAAACCAAAAACTGACACGAGAAGTGGCCACAATAATAATTTAAAGAAGTAAACTCAAAATTAAAATTAAAATATATGTAGTACTATGAAGACAATCAAACTATGAATATTAATAATTTATTAATTAGTAAACATGAATGAGGAAAATAAAATGTGGATTTCAAGATAAGGCACATTAATTTAAAAAGGGAAAGAAGTATGTTGTTGTATTCTAGCGGGCATCACCCAGAAGGATGTGAAAATTGAGTCGAAAAGAATAAAGAAGAATTTGAGAGGTAAATTCGCACCTGTGTGATTTTTAATTCCATTTAAAACTTTAATAATTTGAGATTTGTTAATGTTGTTTTTGCTTTTAAAAAAAGTTATGTATAAAATTTTCTGGATGATTAAAATGAAAGTATTTATCAGATAATTCACGATTTAATTGTTGTTTTTTTAAATATTTATATTACTGAGAAAATAACACAATGCAATAATTATAAATTAATCAATAACCTAGCACTTGATTTTATATTCAATTTTATTCGGTTATAGTTTTATATTATTTTTATTACTGTGTCCTGCAAAACATGAATGAAATAATATGAAGATTACATTTTTACGTATTTACATTTACAATTGTTTATCATTAATTAATTTTTCATATTTTGTAGTTAACATATCACTGATGATACATTTCGTGTTTAAATTTTATTTAAATGTATAAAAATTTGAAAAGAGTTATAACCGATTTGCTATTATTTTTTTTTTTTTTTTCTTTCTTTTCTAAAGGCATCAAATCATTAATTTATATAATAACCTACCTAAAATATTAAAAATTGTTCTTTATAATGTTTAACTCGCCAACGGTGACGTCGATTTGACTTACATCTTCGGTGATCCCGGTCCCACGCACCGGGATTTTCAATGGAAGATTTTTCAAAATATTTTATTTACTGACCATTTTATTTATTAATTATAAATTATTTGACATTAAAACAACAACATTTCATTAATCTCAGCCTCGTTTATTTACTTTTTCTTATGATTAGACAACTTCACATAGACCCTATAAAATTAATTTTTACACATAGCTATTTTAAAAATTTGAAAATTCAATAATCAACATATTTTTAAAATTAATTCAGTCTTATCAGTTTTTACACTCTAGGAACTTACTTATAATAAACAAAAAATGGCATCTTACCAACAAAAAATAACAAAAAAAAATCTTTGAAAATCACTATTCTTCAGTCAAGCAAATACTACAATAAGGCACTACGTGCTTAAGACACAAATGTTTCTTGCACTTGTGGCAAGTGTATTTGGTCTTTCTATTTTTTCCATCCACATACAAAGCAACGGCCATTTCGTGATGGACCAGCCGCTCCAGGTACCTCATCTATCTTCAAAATTTCAGACAGTCTTTGTCTCATTGACCACGGCAGGTGCAAGTGCATCTGTCGTTCTCTTATGTGGGGTTCAATTAATTTCATAGCCAAATTCTCAATGAATTGACGACGTTTCAGTTTGGAATTTTGGTTGTTAGCTGTATGTATCACCTGACTGTTTATGGTACTGATATTTAGCATAGCATAAAAAACTGCCATAGGCCAGCGTCTTGTTCCCCGAGCACAATTGTAATTAGCACACAAACGATCTACCACGTCAACACCGCCCTTGATGTCATTGTAACACAAAATTATATCTGGTTTTTGACTTTCGGCATCAATTGTAGCATCATTGTGCATTGTGCTAATCAGGAGAACATTTTTTCTTGCGTTTGGAACATATGAAAACAAAACCATATTGTCGCGAAACCCAAACATACGAGTATTTGAGTTCACAGTTCGACCACGCAATATGTTGAAGTCAGGGGGAATTTCTTTTTTATTCTTCCGAATTGTTCCGACTGTTCCTTTCTCAAGCAATGCTTCAGATGGGGTCACAGACAAGTAATATACCAATTGTCTGTTGTAACGTTGCGGCCAGTATTGAAAATGGGCTCGCATAATCTTTGAACCACAGCCAAGCCAGAATTGTCATGAGTGTATGGGCCTGCATCTGGCTGTTTTCCGAGATATATTTCCATATTGAATGTATAAAACATTTTAGCGTCACACAGAGCTTGAATTTTGATACCATATGGATTTGGCTTATTCGGAACGTATTGCCTAAATGAGCACCTTCCGCGAAAAGCTTCCAACTTTTCATCGACAGTCACAAAAGCAGATAAAGTGTAACTATCCTTACAATTTTGGACAAATTTCTCGAATATCTCTCGAATGTGGCAAATTTTGTCTAGTTCTTTTCTTTATGTCCTTGTAGTACTATCATCAAACCTCAAAGTTCGTAGAAGAAATTGAAACCTCTGGGCAGACAAATATTTCCACCGAACCACCATCCGTTCAAAACAACTCTTCAGCATTCAGGTGATTCGATTTTTTCACTCCGGCTAATAGAAGCAAACCAATCAAGTAATATACCTCGTTGAAATCAGTCTGTTTTGCATACGTTTCTCTAGCATAATTATCTTTCACGGAAGCAATGTATTGGTTGGTATATTCGGCAATAATCTTATTTATAGTATCGTCAAAGAAGTGTCTCCAAATTCCAAGAGTTTAGGTCCTGGTAACTGAGTTATTATATTGAAACCTCTTGTGGTCGTGGAAGGAAAAGGGGAGATCTCCCGCCGGGCAAGGTGTTCTGCCCGGGGGAGCGGCCAGCACTCCATGTGATAGTTCGGAGATTTTCTTTAACCTCTTGTGGTCGTGGAAGGAAAAGGGGAGATCTCCCGCCGGGCAAGGTGTTCTGCCCGGGGAGCGGCCAGCACTCCATGTGATAGTTCGGAGATGTTCTATATATACTGTTTATGATTCGGAATACTGATAGCGTGATTTAGGCTTCGATGTGTTTCGCTTGCGACGCGACGACAGCGCCGCTACATCACCTTGTTGGTTGCATGTTCAGATCACGTCGGGGTCACCACTGTGGCCGTGGAAGGAAAAGGTGAGATCTCCTGCCGGGCAAGGTGTTCTGCCCGGGGAGCGGCCAGCACTCCATGTGATAGTTCGGAGATGTTCTATATATACTGTTTATGATTCGGAATTCTGATAGCGTGATTTAGGCTTCGGTGTGTTTCGCTTGCGGCGCGACGATAGCGCCGCTAAACTCTAGTACGGACAGATTGGCGGTGAGGTTCTTTGCTCCATTTCGTACTTTTATCCTTTCCTAAATAAAAGGCGCTGTTGTTACCTGAAGCTTCTCGGTCACTTAGCTCCTCTTCGCTGGTTGAATCCTGTATGTCGTTTGGTGAAGGATTCTCCAGTTCGATGTCACTTCCAGCTTCACTGTCTGAGGACAATGATGGTCTGTCGTCATCAAGCAGTTCATGAAGAAGCGATTCTAGACGATGTTGTTCCCTTTCGTACAAAGTTTATATTTGAAACAAGATAGAATAATTTTGTGATATTTTGATAAAATCATGCAAAACTGATTATAGGATAATACAATAAAAAAATAACAAAGGTAAGTAAAAAATGTACATAAATCAGACAAAAAACGAATATTCAATTCGGTCTGTTTTACTTACATATTCGGTGACCCCGGTGTACCGCACCGGGCTGGCGCCAAAGCTCAGGAACGTACGCCTGCTCCGACGTTGCCGGGTGAACTGACGGTGTGGAAGGGGAAATGAGGCAGCTACTCGAAATCGCGACAAAAATCGGCGGCGGGGGAAAAAGCGGGCTACATACGACATGATATCGGTGGCGATCTAGGGTGGAGTAGTGGGGATGCCTCCTAGATTGCCTCTAAATCGTGTCGTATGTAGGGCCATCCTAAGTCGTGGCCGATATCGCCTCCTTAATCGGCTGGCAGGAGCAAAAAATGCAGCCTATGCTTCCTAGATCGGGGCCCCGCCCACTCCGTACTGCGTGTGTGTAGGCGCATCGGTCCGATTTCTTTTGGGAGTCGCTGCCGGCAGCCCTCGCGGACGTTAACGAAACAGTGATACTGAATGATCTTTTTTACGTAACAAATTTTTTACTTTTTAAACATGTGAACGGAGTAGAAGCCTATGGCACTGATATTTTACAAAAAACAAAAAAAATTGAATAAATAAATTAATTAAAATCTATCGAAATTCAAATCATATCCACCCTAGCCTATGACCTTGCGAGGTCAAGAATGCCTACTATACTAATTGTTTTATTGCCGTTCGTAAAGTAGGGAGTATGAAGTAAGGAGAGGATGAAGCCTCTCCTCAACAACTAACTCCTATTCCAACGCTATCAACACAAGACCGCACTCATATCTCTTACGTGCTTTCATCCTCTCATCAACAACTAACTTCTACTCCTTCACCATCTCCACATCAACAAACAAGCTATGAGAAGCTAGAAGGGAGTATGTCCGAAATTAAAAGTTTCTTTATGTTTAAAAAAAGTTATAAGCTATTTTATTTTTTGTAGCTTTAATCCATAAATAAAGATTACATTAAAAAAAGTATACATATTACTGTACAAAAGTATTTTATTTATTTGTTTGTTGTGTGTAGTACATAACCCGATTTTGACCAAAGCAGAAATGAACAAAGAGAGAAATAACTAAATAGCATAGGTAGGAGAAATTGATGTTTTTGTATAAGTGGCGAAATCATAAATATAGAAAAATCCTAGAAGGTTGTAAAAACTGTCTTCATCCATCCGGAGAAAATTAATCATCTCTTTGGATTACAGACCATTTAGTACGTTTATGTGGCTTAATTTTTGTCTCTTTTGGAGCCATTTTTCACCCAGCAACTCCTCTTTTTCTATTTTCGAATAAATTAACCGAGGGGGCTAATTCCAAACCAACACGTTGGTTTTTTAAGAGAGTAGGATGCATTTTGAAGAACTCTACCGCATATGCGTTCCGCTCCAAGTCCAAACGCGTACTGCTAGGCAGGCCCGTGTGTAGGGTCTGCCTTGATAAAAGCCCCGATTTCTTTCCACCCTAGATCGCCACCGATATCGTCTCGTATGTAGCCCGCTTTATTCGAATTTTTCAGGTCACCCGATCCCACAGATAGACACCGTTCCCGGGTTATCTATCGTTATGTGAAGTTTATAGCTGTTATAGTGATTTTTTTAAAAAGCATTTTTTTATAGCAAAAGTATTTATTTAAAAAAAAAAGCTAATGCATTTTGTGATGTATGTAAAAGTAACATAAATATTAACAATGGAACTATTTCTAAACTTCTGTGTAAATTAAGGAAATGTTTAAAACTATCCTCTTAAGGTACATTTTACTTGCATTCATATTATAAAATATTGTAAAAGTTATCTTAAAATTAGGCGTGAATCACACCGTGTCATCCTAGTCCGATGGAATTACAAACGATGCCTTACGGCGCCTCTACACGTTGGCCAACACAGTGGCGAATGTAGTGGCCAATAGCATTGGCCAACGTGTAGACGGGGTGTTTGGGCTTCATTGGTATGTATTGGAACGATGGCCCGCAAGTTGGCGCGAGATCCGTGTGGTGTCGGTTTTTTACAAAAGATCAAAGGATTGTTGGCAGAGTTTGGTCGCCGCGTCCACACGTTGGCCGCGAGTTTAGTTTGCTACAAGCACCCAGAGTGATTACACGCATCTGATTAAAATTTTATATTCACGCTTTGAAGGGTGGATGACCCAATTACCAGCCTTTTAGTGCCAATTTCAACTTTAAACATTCATACTACTTTAATTAGCGCGATTTAATTATTTTTAAACATTTGTTTTATTCGATAAGCTATTTATAAAAAAAATAATGAACATTTATTAACAATCAGATTATTACGAGAACAATTTTAAAATGAAAAAAAAAATGAAGCACTTCGTTTATACGTGGTAGAACCATGCAGTTATATTAGAAGTATAGTTGTAGCACGAATGGGTCGGTTCGACTGGGGAAGGACCACGCTCTCACAGAATATCAATGTAAAATAGTAGCTTAATGATGCTGTGTTTCGTATAGTGAGTGTAGAGAACCAGAGACACTTTTTAAAGGAAACGAGGCATTTCATCTTAGTCCTCACGGGTGACAACGCATCTGCATTTTGACTCGTAACCGAAGGATAGATGTAGATGTCTGTGGGCCACAGCAACCACTTACCATCAGGTGAACTGTGTGCTCGTTTGTCACCCTATCCTATATAAAAAGCGTCGATTTCTTATAATTTAATCGTGCAAGTTTTCGAATCATCATCATTATTACAGCTCTTCACAAGTCCACTACTGAACATCCTCCTCCAAAGAATGCCGCAAAGCATGGTCCTGAGCCACTTTCCTTGTCATGAATTTTTCATTTATGTTCTAAGTTATAATTAGTACCTATTATTAAGTCAGTGTTAATTATATTTATTGCTATTGTTTTTGTCTTTCTCAAAAAATAATTAAATTACCAAATAAATTATAAGGTGTTTTTTATATACATCAAATGTCTGATAGAAAAGCAAGTACATGTTTTGCTAAACTTTAAAAACAAAACCCAATTTTAAAACATAGACTAATCGATTATAACTCCTTTAACTTTAAAATAACTTAAGTTCTAATTAATGGTATTTATTCCAGTTTCTGATGCATGTAAAGAATAAATAAAGCTAATCTATATCGTATATCTATTTACAGCCCTATTAATATTCACTATTCTTTTATAATTATTTTATAAAAACGTTACCCCCCACACTTGGATTTTCTCCTGTGGACACATATCCAGACCCGAAACAATTATTTGTAGGATATACAAATACTTGTTCCGTGCGGGATTCAAACCCGCGACCACTGGCACAGCCACTCATTGCCAAGCCACTGCGCCACGGAGCCGACGTCTAAAATAAAACAAATTCGTCCGCACATTGGCCCGAACCGAAGTAAACTGAACGACCTTCCAACGTGTGGACGCCGTCACCAACTCTCGACCAATATATTCGCCCCTACATTCGCCACTGTGTTGGCCAACGTGTAGAGGCGACATTATACGTACTTTGGAATTTAAAACAAACTTGCCTCAATTCAATCAAGATTACAATTTGTATTTTGATCTGTGTGTTGCTATATTAATTATAATGATTACGTTGCTTAACATTGACTTCTTTGTTCTGTTTATCTTAATGTGAAATGTAATAATTTATTTTCGGTTTTATATTGCTTGAATATTTAAATCATAAGCTTTTAACTATTATAATTTATTATTATCTTGGAAAACAGTACTAATTTGAGTAGATTATGAAAGTATTTTCTTCGGATAATACGATTTTAAAACTCACTACATATATAATGTTTTACACAACTAATTGATTTAAAGTTTGTTGTTCCCATATTGTGAACCTCAATCCCTGACTGACACTGTAACTAAATATTATACGAGATTATTTTATGATATAAAGTAAAAGATGTGATTAAATGTATGGTTAAGTTACGGAATACATAATTATATATGAAAAGATTGATAATGTATAGATGCGAGAATAAGATAAAGAAAATTATCGGAGGTTAGTATATCCACATACAATCAGCCTGATCAGCTGAGAGTTTGGAAAACCTAACAGCCGATTAATTTTTAAGGTTGTTCGGACACGATTAAATGCGAAATAAGTTTTAATGAGGAAAACGATAATTTATTATGAATTGTATAGGAATATTGTCCACTATCTTGATCATGTATGTACGCGAGGCGCGTAAGTGAAAGTTATGGTACAATTAAATAATGAATTACATGAGCTGAAATGTAAAGAAGTGAATTAAATGATATTGGTAATTTTCTTGATCATGTATATACGCGAGCCGTGTACGTGAAAGAAATGACATACATGTGTAATAAATAGCTAAAGGATACGAATAAATAACGGATACGAATAAATAATATTGTAAATTTTCGTGAAAATCAAAACATAATTTTATGTTATACATAATTATGCCTGATTATGTCAATTATACTACTGTGACTATGCATTTTTGCGTGCTAGATATGTCTTAGATTATAGTTTTCATAATGATATTAACCTTTTTTTAGAATAATCTTAAGGATCTATTTTAAAAATTGATAAAAAAAATATAGATAGCATATTTTTTTTACTCTTTTGTCGGTGGGAGGTGTAAGTGTAGTGCTCCCACGTTAATATACTTTAGTGTTAAGGTAGAATAATGAAGCAGTCTAATTAAAGTTTTAGTACCAACCACACGTCTCCTTCATTGACACCTTTCCTATATTACATATATCTTCCTTGTATCTTCCTTTCCTTTGAATTGACGATCGCAGCACCACGTGACTAGATAACTTTTACGCTGCTGCCCGTCGCCGCAATCTGAATATTTTACGCCTGGCATTCACGAGATTGTATATAGGCATAAGTGATATAAAATTTCTAGCATTTTGAATGAAACTTGTATTTTAACGGATTTTATCGCGTTTAATCAACTTATTTTATACCCCTAATGTTCCGAGCATTTTGAAGCTATCAGGGCACGGGGTGACTCTTACTTACTCTACCCTACATTTTTTAATGGTCGTACTTTTTCATAATACTTACATTTAGTATTGTGAAATACATGCATATAAATAGCAAACAGGTCGTCGAATATCTCTCGGAAACTTCAGGTGTCGATTGCTCGACACGCGGACCTTACGAGAACATTCTTCGACTGCTTAGAGGTGACTGAGGTGGGCAGATAGGGCTAATCACCTTATTGGCTTGCTCTGGCGAATCTATTTCGTCGGGAATCGTGTCTAAGTTCTGGAAGGTCGTAGACTAGAGTTTGACCTCGAGCTTACGCCAGTCCACGATAGTTTTGGTCTGAAGGACCTGCGGCCTGGCCCAGCTGCAATAGGGCTAGTCTATGGTACAAAATGTATATAAAACAAAAATAATAAAAAAAATATTATTGACATAAGTATATAAACGCGTTAGTAATTTAAAAAAAAAGTCATAATGCAAGACATAAAAATAATTGTCAACATTTAATAGCACTGCCAAAGAACATGATATTAAGCTTTTAAGAATAATATTTAGCTAATTTTAGAAACGATTGTGTTAAATAATTGAATATCGGTTACATACGTGCTTAGAGCTTAATCTATACTTAGTTTTGAATACTGAAATATATTAGTTTTTAATTAATTACAGTAGAAGATGTGCGCGGTGTCCCAGTGAAAACAGTCAACAATATTATCTGTTTTTATATATGTAATATAATAAGTCAATATTTGTACACCCATACACCTAGTGGTAGAAAACTAATTTTACGACGTTTGTAGTTACAAATATTTTAACTTGAATAATGTATAAGCCGAAAAAACGTATTATTAGAAATAGTATAAATAGTATTAAAAAAAAATAATAAAAATAAAATGGTGTACATTTTGTTTCATAAATTGTGTTAGCGACAGCTAAAAGGTAGTCTGCTCAGCACAGTCACAGAATAAACAATAGTGGCAGTGAACGCTAATAAAATCTGACTAAACTCGTTCGCAGCTCAACTTTTCAGTAACACCGTTGTTTGTCTGGAGTAAATTGCTGTCAGCAATAAGAATTCCAATAATTGCATACTACTTCTGTGTAAAATGTAAATACGTTTTGTTTGGTGTGCAATAAAGAATATTAAATCTATACAAATACACAAAATTGAAATGCTGGTAATGTCAAAATAACAGCTTGTCACTAAAGCATATTATGAAAGTATTATACGTATAACAAAAAAGAAAAAGGGATTTTTAAAATTTTTACCTGTCTGTTTGTTTCGGCTAATCTTCGAAATTGCTGGACCGATTTTGACGTGAATGTCACTAGGAGATAACTGATGGTTCAGCTAGTAAAAAAATAAAAACAAAATAACAACCGCAGCTTAATTTTCTCACTAAAACTCATTTTCTATTCCGCCTGGGTAGGTTCCGCTTACCTATTTCTACCTTCTTCTAACTTATTTCTACTTTCCTTTTACCTACTTCTACTTTCATCGTATCTATTTCTACCTTCCTCTTACCTATTTCTACTTTCCTTTTACTTATTTCTACTTTCCTCTTATCCGTTTCTACCTTCCTCTTAACCATTTTGACCTTCCTCTTACCTATTTCTACGTTCCACTTATCCATTTCTACCTTCCTCTTAACTATTTTGACCTTCATCTTACCTATTTCTACTTTCTTCTTATATATTTCTACCTTCCTTTTACCTATTTCTACCCGCAAATAGCAGTGCACTTCTGTATTCCGGATAGAATTACCAGATGGTCGGGATTCGTCTGGATTCTCCCGACATTTTAAACGATCAAAATTTTAAATCTCCAAACAAACAGCTCCTCGGAAATTTACGTATAGCCTTGATTTAATAAAATCTGAATTAGTAATTAGACTGAACTTAGAAGGAAATTGTTTGAATTTAAAATATTTTCTAAAGGATCCAAATTGGTGGACTCTAGTAAAGTACATGTGGTACCTTAAAATTAAATTTACTTAAATTATTTTTGTTTCAAGTACTTTTTGTAGCCTCGAAATTAAAAAAAATATTTTTTTTAATTTTTAATATTTATTTCTCTCGACAACAGTCCCAAAATTCCGACTTTTTCAAAATTTAGCCAGATATTGTTTATTTATTGATTATATATTATATATTATTTATTAATTTGACGCAGTGGATTAGCAATGAGTGGCTGCGCTGGGGGTCGCGGGTTCGAATCCCGCACGGAACATGTATTTGTATGGCCTACAAATAATTGTTCCGGGTCTGGATGTTTGTCTTTGTGCAATTTATGTTTGTAAACTGTTTTGTAAATTGTATGTTTGTAAACCACGATACAGGAGAAAATCCTAGTGTAGGAGTAAAGTTTTTTTTTTTTAAAGAAGAACTGAACTGAAGACCTGATATTGTAGTTTTCCGATCTGGCAAACCTAGTTCAAGACTAAAGGGTATAAAGAGCAATTAAATTAATAAAAATAAAAGAATTACAGGTTGTGAGTCGTGATAACGCATCATGTTGTACGTGGTAGAGCCATTTTTCAGTTATATTAAAAGTATAATTGTAGCACGAATGGGTCGGCTCAACCGGGGAAGGACCACGCTCTCATAGAATACCATCGTGAAATAGTAGCTTATTGCTGCTGTATTTCGTATGGTGAGTGTAGAGAAGCGGAGACACTTTTTACTGGAAACGAGGCATTCCATATTAGTCCTCACGGGTGACAACGCATCTGCATTTTGTTTTGTAATTGAGAATACATGTAGTATGTACCTATGGCCCGTAGCAACCACTATATATATATATACAGCACGTAACATAATTAACGCACTTTGAGAAAGTAGTTTGTTCAGAATCGTTTACCGATTCGATTCCTATCATTTTTAACACGCTCAGCGCCAAGCCCTATATTCCAATACCACCCAAATTTGACCTTTCTGAAAAAAAAATTTTTGACCTAAAACCATCTTGATATTATAGCGGATACATTTTTTTCTACCCCCACCCTTCTCCACCCCCTCCCACTAGTGTGTATCTTTTTCGATACACGGGCCTGTGACAATAGTTAACACCCAAAACTTTTTCATGGGCCATGTGTGCAAAAAAGATACACATTAATAATTAAATCTCATATTGTTTTAGATTAGCAATTGGAGCTGAGAAGAAAGAAGAAATAAGAAGAAAGAATCAAATGAGAAGAGAGTTTGGGAATAGCAACAGTTTTTCTTAAATTTTCTTTTGTTTTGTTTCAGGAATAAGTAATAGAGAGTTAGTAAAGTGAATAACAACCGAGAGACGCGTTAGAATATTGTAAAAATGGATTATAGTAGTGATGATTCAATGGACGATCCCGATTTCTGTCCCAGTACAGAAGATGACGACGATTCAAGTGAATCAGATAGTGGAAATGAAGCTTGGAATCCACCAGCTACATCAAGAAGAATGTCAACATTTTCAGAGGATCAGTTACCTGCACTGCCAAATATACAGAGACGAAGAACTCCACGATCAAGAACAATGCCACTAGATGATATAGCCACCCTTCCAAGTACTTATGGAACTACCTCAGAAGAAATACCAGAGTCTGAATGGGTCAAACAAAAAATAGAAAATATAGAATGGGATATGCCAACTGCAGATGATCCAGAACCGATACCGTACACTGTGCCTTTTTCAGGAATGAAAGATATTTACACGGGCATCTTAGCAACTGCAAACCCTATTGAATACTTTGAACTTTTTCTGACAAGAGATATTGTGGAGCTCATTGTTGAACAAACAAATCTTTTTGCTACACAAAACCTATTATCTAACGACGACGTGGGTCCCCAAGCTCGAGCTCATTCTTGGTATCCAGTCACTGTCGACAAGATGATCAAATTTTTGGCACTGATTGGTTGGATGGGCTTGGTCAAACTGCCTGCTATAAGACTACTGGAGAGTTCATAAGCTTTATGAAATTCCATTGGCAAGGACAGTCATGCCAAGAAATCGCTTCGAGCTAATATTGAAATACTTGCATTTTTCGGATAATACTGAAGCAGATACAGAGGACAGGTTGCGCAAAATTAGAGATGTGCTTGATAAATTTATTGAGAACTATAAGAAAATGTATACCTCAGGCGAAAACATCTGCGTCGACGAATCTCTTATTCCTTGGCGCGGAAGATTGATATTTCGCCAATATATACCTGATAAAGCAGCGAAATATAGTATAAAGGTATTCAAGCTCTGCACTGAAAAGGGTTATACCTGGAACCTGTATGTATATTGTGGAATGTGAAAATCGAAAGAAAAAGAAGTCGATGTTTCTGAAAAAACGGTTATGACTCTTGCTCAAGGTCTTCTTGACGAAGGAATAACTATTTTTACTGATAAATATTATACAAGCGTCCCGCTAGCATACAGACTACGACGCCGAAAAACCCATCTTGTTGGTACCCTCAGATCCAACCGAAAACATCTACCAAAAGATGTCATTGCAACAAAACTGAAAAGAGGGGAAATTAGCTGTAAGCAAACCAAAGATGGAATTGTAGTCCTGAAATGGCGCGATAAACGGGATGTAAGAATGCTCTCAACGAAAACATCTGGCCTCAAGACAGTGATCACCCAAACTAGAAAAAGGATACCTATAATCAAGCCAGTAATTATCAACGACTACAACAGCGGCCAAACATCGATTGATATTAGTGACCAAACGGCTACATATGGCAGTGCTTTGAGACGTTGTACTAAATGGTATCGTAAGCTGTTCATTGAGGTACTATGGGGAACAAGCCTAGTCAATGCCCATTTTCTCTATAACAAATATTCCAACAACAAGAAACTGACAATCACGGAATTTCGAGAGCAAGTTATTACAGGATTACTTGACAGACATTCTCAACCTCGTGTTATAGAATCCGGACCATCAACTTCGACACCAAGAAGAGCCTCAGGAAATATGAAGCACTATCTTGTGAAGAATACAGTTGGAGAAAAGACAGTTCGCGGGCGTTGTTCAGAATGCTACAAAAAGTACGGAAGGAAAGGAATTGAAGTAAATGGCAAAATACTACGAGCGTCACAAGTTAACACAAAATGTTCTATTTGTGATGTAATTATTTGCAAAACTTGTTTCAATAATACCCTCTAACTATAAGATTACTTTCTCTTCATAACACCTTTGTTACATTTTGATTTTAATAATAAAAGTTCTACATTAAAAATAATTTTAGTGTTTTATTTCTTCCTCATACATTTTTCTTCATAATTTCCATAAAATATTACCAATCCCAACCCCAATACACCAGAAAAATCCCCTAGGCCAGAGCAATATTTTCGTACTATAAAATGTACGAAAACGTGCGCGATAGCGATACACGAGGCTAAAGACTGGAATGGTGTTCGTGTATCGAAAAAGATACACAAGTGTTTGTACAGTGTTGTGTATCGAAAATGATACACATGGCGCTTAGCGTATTAATATAGGTAATTTTTTATCCCAAAAATAATCAAACCGTGACTTAAGGCAATAAGACTTTTAAGAGTGCAGTTTTATTTGTATTATTACTAATTCAGTCATTCAATAAAAATAAAGAAAAATGAACTTTATTTCCAGCACGTTAGAGTCACGTTAGTCTTTGCGTTCGTGGATTTGTACTGTGACCAAAACATTCTTCCGGAATTAGTATAACTAATTTGATAAATAATCAGTGCACAAAAATGTTTAACTAAAAGTTCAGTGTATGTATGTATTATGATTATAACATAATATACTGAGGGCGCCAGTTGCCACGGTTAAGATCAGCTCCGTGTATTTCTGTTATTAAAATTATAAAACAGCTCGGATAAACTAAAATATTAATTTAGTGCAAAGTAAAAACCTTATTAGTTGTGTACAAGTGTTATATCGTCTTCTCATTCACGAAATGTGCAGGAAATAACGATATTAAATACAGTTTGTTGTCACTATAAATAATATTAATTGATGTGTTAATACAAGTTAATAAGTAAATAATAAAGTTCAGTGTTAATAACATTTGTTAGTAGTAACATATGTTAACGTAAACCTAAGTGCAATAATAAATTACTATATACATTAAGTGTATTTTGCAACTTTTTATCGTGTGAAATTTGACGGTTGTTGTAAAAACTTTTAGTTTCGATTTGAATCAATGTCGTTGATCTCATCTACAAGATTATAAATAACGTCATCTATGTGTTTGTGCTTATATTGATGACAAATTATGGTTCTCTAATATCGATATTAATAATTGCAATCCTTGATACTTACAACGATCGAGTTTCCGTGCCACAAAAAGGTGGCGCTTTTGTGCTTGGAGTGTACAACATTACAAACTACAGCTTCTTAAAAATGAATTACGCTGGTTGTAATACAATCTGCAAGCCGGGGGCGCGGCTGCTGAATTTTCATGCCCGCGAAGGAATCTATCACATTGAATGCCTTAATATTAAGAAGCAACAATATTCGTCACTGACAGAAGAATTTAAGGCAGCCTGGAAATGTCCCTCGTGCAATAATGTTACCCGTCGTGGACGATCCAACTTGCTTAAGCCCGTGCGATCCACGCAAATACATTTGGATGATAACATGAATATGTCATATGAAATCGAGGGCCAAGTACCAATCTCATCGTACAATCCTTGTACTTGTAATCCGACTACACCAGCTGCTTCAGTCCATGACTGTGTTGTCCTGGAGACGGATGCAACTTTCGATACATTCACACAGGAACTACATAAGACCTTTGAGGAATGGCGAAGCGATATGAACAATACACTAACTGTATTCAAGGAGAATATCAAGAGCTCACTACATGACTGGCGAGATGAGATGGAGGCGAGTATAACTAAACTTAATGATGATTTAAAATTTGCTTTGAATGGATTCAGGAGGAGATATTCACCCTTCGTACTGAACATGAGCGTCTAAAGCATCAAACCGCTGATATATCTCATGATGTCTCAGAATTAAAAGCATCCATGCAGTTTCTTTTTGGGGAACAAGACGATTTAAAAAAAGTGGACGGCACAATACGTCAATCTACCGAACAATCTAGCCTAACCATTAGTAACTTGGAAACTAAAATCGATTACCCAGAGCAACAAGCCAGACAATGCAACATCGAAATCTGTAACATTCCTGAAACTCGCAGTGAAAACTTGTTAAACATAATGGGATCGATTAGTACGGCTATTAACTTTCCAATTTCTCAGAAAGATATCCTGTTAATCCATAGAGTTCCTCATGCTCACCGTCAAACAAATAAGCCCAAGAATGTTATTGTGAAACTTTCATCGCGCATCCTTCGTGACAACGTACTAGCGGCTTTTCGTAAGGTGAAAACTCTCAAGACCGACCAGCTAGGTCTCACCGGATCGACAATGACCGTATATATGAACGAGCATCTTACACTGAAGAAAAATCAAATAATTCGTAAAACCACAGATCTCGCCGCTATTATGTACGCTCTGACGGCGCGCGACATGTTATACTGTTATAATCCCGTTCGCTCGGGACCTTAATGGCGGGAAAATTTGTAAGTTAGAAAATTTTTTTGCTATATTGCAAATTTTGCTATATTTTCACTTTGAGACAATATTTATGAATAAAACTTACAGGATTTATGGTTGAATGTATAAACTATCGAATAAAATTATTTTTGGTTGCTAGAAATTGTAATAAAATACATAAATTACCCTGTATAGCATAGTAGTAGTATATACTTCAATTTTAGTGACAAAATTACTACTAATTTGAATTCTACACTTTTGTTTTTGGAGAAATTTATATGAAAATGTTTGGAAATATGTATATTTTTATGTTTTATGTGTTTCTATTCGTTACTCATATTTTGGTTGGTTACTAATATTTTGGTATATTAAAAAATTAAAAAAAAAATAATTATAATTTTATCTGTATGACATTTCGAACTATATTTCAAATTTTTTTTTCCAAGAAACATTGCCAGGTTATGGTTTAAAATAAAAGAGCATATCTTTGTCTTTGATACTATTATCTATTGCATAGTATCTTTGGTTTTGTTTAAAACGAAAAAAATAGTTTTAAAAAAAGTTTTCATAGGCCAGTAATTCTGATCTAATTAGTGCTCTTTTGGAGCGGACGTAAGGTAGGTATTGTACGATCTAAAGTGCGCATATCTTGAAGCAACAGGCTATGCACCAATACAAGTATGTCTGGGTTCGGAATGCCACTATTTTGGTGCGCGAGCAAGATGATGATACTGCTTTTGCTATCCGCACAGATGATGATCTTCGTAAGATCAAAAGCCGTACTAAAGGTGGTGATAAAAGCCCTTGTGGTGGTTCTACTCAACATAGTAATAACAATACTTTTCATTATTATCATTATTTTCTCCACCATATATCTCGCTTAATTTCTTCATTATGTGTCATTCTGTATTACACGTTTTTATTAATGATTTTTTTCGTTCTCTCATCCAAAAATGCAAACAAAAAGTCAAATTATATAATTAATACTTTTGAAATAAAATGTTCCTTACACTATGTTACGTTAGTAGGGTTATATTGTACTATTGCATTATGTTACACTTTTTTGAAATATTTATATTTATTTTATGAAATATATATTACTATAAATAGTGCTATAATGAAATCATTTGGTATGATAACTGTATATATACTAAACTTTTTTAAACATAAAATAAGTGTGCCTTACGTCAAAATTAAAAATAATGCTCAGTTTAATTATAAGTTTATAACATACTTGTATTAATAAATTGTATGTTGATCCTAGGTTTATTATTATGCAATCGTCTTGGCCTGTATTTTGCCATATGTTGTTACACTTTATATATATATATATATATATATATATATATATATATATATATATATATATATATATATTATAATCTATATATCACTTTATGTATTATAATCTTTTTAAAAATTTATGAGTATGTCATAAATATGTCAGCCCTTGAATATAACACGTGTAAGTATGGTTGTTATGTTGTATATGTATCAACAAAATATTTTAACCAGTGGGCTGAAAAAGTGTGGAGTAATAATTATAAAATTTTATTGATTTTTTCATTTTGCGTGCATGTTTTTGTAATTCTTATTATTTTTATGAAGATATATTTTGAATCGTCTCTTCGTGGGGAATTGGAGGTTTGTCTTTGCTGCGTGACTGGTATATTATATCATAATAAGGTAAAATATTCTTATTATTGTTTTAAAGACTTGAACACCGTAAGTGAAAATTTTAATATTACTGTTAATATGTACATGTTATTCTCAATTATTTGTAATTGGTAGCAAGCAATATTCTTTATACTATCAAAATTGCAGATGTTTCCGAACAAAATTACACACACTATATATGAACATTCTAAACAGTAACTATGATATCATGGTACTCACCGAGACTTGGCTGATATCGGAAATTAGCAACAATGAGTTTATCGATCAACGTTATATTGTGTACAGGTGCGACCGTAATCGTATCTGTATAAATAAACTAGATGGCGGTGGTGTTCTAATTGCGGTATTGCGTACACTCAGATCATCTGAGTTAAATCTGTCTTTGACTAGTGTAAATGTTTCATTGAATAACCTAATCGAACATGTCATCATCGAAGTCCCTAGTAAGCATTCCTCAAAGCGCCATGTCTTCAGTGCTGCTTACATACCCCCCAAAACACCCTCTACCGCATACGAACTTCACTTTGAAACTTTACAAGAGGTACTGTATGATCCTAATTTGGATTGTTTCTATATTTTGGGCGACTATAATCTCCCAGATGTAACTTGGACACGAGGAACCACAGACGCCTTACATGGCAGTGGAGTAGGCTCATCCGTTACCTTTAACCTATTATGTAATTTAATCTCATTTCTAGATGCCGCACAATACAACTACGTAGTTAATACCAAAAATAAAATACTTGATTTATGCATATCAAACCGCTCGTGTAAGATATCGGCCGCTTTAAGTCCCCTACTTCCTGTTGACGCATATCATCCACCCTTTGTTTGTGATATAGCTCTCAATGCTGATATTGTTCCAATGAAAAAGCGGACGCTTCTAAGGTACAATTTTTATAAGTCCGACTACAAGCACATCAACCGCAAAATAGAGTCCACTGATTGGGATGAAATACTTACTCCACTGGGATCTGAAGAAGCACTTAGCGCATTTTACGGAATCATTGACGAAATTATCAAACAACACACGCCATTTGTTGGCTCCAGAACCTCTGCTTTTCCGGTCTGGTTTTCGAAATCTCTAATTAGCACATATAGAAAAAAATCGCGTATATTAAGTTACTGTACTATCTATTTGTAATTATATATAATGTCGTTGTTAGCTGTTCCACTTTGAATAAAATAAAATAAAATACTAATTGGGGTGTCTGAGGGTGTGCGTTAATTACGTTACATATTGTATATGCCGCTGTTGATGTGGTGCTAATTTTCTAATGACGAATACGACAGCAATTAACTGATTATCCGGATAAAGGTAGCTTTGAATTAATAATTTAGTAAAGTAGTAAGTTAAGGAGGCATTTTTTAAAAATCGTAGTCGGTTTTTAAGTTACCAGCCTTTTATCTCATTTTAAGAGTTTCAAGATCTTTATGAGCATTTACTTTGTACACAAAGGCTCTCGAAATTCTGTACTATATATCCCGGATTACGTGTTCACAAAGCGTAAATATGAGACCCGGCCGAACTATCAGAGATGATAGATAGTGACATTCGATGCGAAAAATACGACCGCAGGCTCATCGGAGTGAGCATATCAACATTAATTTGTTGAAGCGAAATGAAAATTCTTTTTTTTTTTGGTTGAAAATTGTTGAAAACAATTTTTCACGTAAAGAAGTCGAATTATTACAATTTTAAGTAGTTACAGCATATAAAAGTTGAAGATAGGCCCTTCACTATAGATTGACTCATAGGAGTTTTTGCCACGCATGGCAGATGGATTGGTAGTCGCAGTTTCTTAATATTTTGTGTTGATAACAGAAAGATGGTGCTGTCCATCACCTGTTTCAGTTTCTTCTCTGTCGGTAGACGGTATAAAGTAGTAGACATTCTTACACCGCCACTACACGGTAAAGCCTTTCATCTAACAAGTAAATTTTTTTCTTTTTATTTTTAAAAAGACGTTACCCCTACACTAGGATTTTCTCCTGTATCGTGGAGGCAGTTTACAAACATAAATCGCACATGGACAAACATCCAGACCCGGAACAATTATTTGTAGGCCATACAAATACTTGTTCCGCGCGGGATTCGAACCCGCGACCCCCAGCGCAGCCACTCATTGCTAAGCCACTGCACCATGGAGGCGTCGAATAAAAAATTATTTAAAAGAACTTGCGAGCCTGACAATAGTCGCGTATGATGGGTAACATTTGACAGATCGAGAAAAATATTTTTTTAATCAAAATTAAAAATAACAATTTAGCAGCGACAAAAATTTACCTCAAAATTTATAAAGTATCAATACTGAAATATTTATTCGAATAATTATTCACGATTAAAATCTGCACACACAATTATTATCAACAGTTAATAGAGTTTACATATATATTTTTCATGTGGTAGAACCATACTGCAGTTATATTAGTAGTATAGTTGTAGCATGAATGGGTCAGCTCGACCGGGGGAAGGACCACGCTCTCACAGAATACTAGTGTAAAATAGTAGCTTAATGTTGCTGTGTTTCGTATGCTGATTGTAGAGAACCGGAGACCCTTTTTACCCGAAACGAGGCGTTCCATCTTAGTCCTCAGAAGTTACAACACATCTGCATTTTGATTCTTAATCGAGGATAGATGTAGATGTGTATGGGCCACAGCAACCATTTACCATCAGCTGGACTGTGTGCTCGTTTGTCACCCTATCCTATAAAAAAATATAAATTACTTTATGTAACA